AGGAATGAATGGGACAGAGAACAACCTGGTGCAGTTTCTCTGCACCTCCACGTTGAAAGTCACAAACTTTACGGATGCTTTCTCTTAGTAGACTGAATGATTTGCCACTCTTTTCACAGCGTGGAACTGTGAAGTTCTTTAGTTACAAAAGTGACATTTTAGCCAGAGTTCTGTGTTTGCTGTTACGAGGAACAGGAAATGGAATGGCCTGCTTCCAAAAGAAGCTGGAGTTTAGCTTGCTCTTCTCCATGAAGAACTCACACTTAGAAACACAAATCATGCAGTAGAAACCAGCAGCTCTCCTCAGGGAACTGGAGTCTAGAAACGTGTTTGTGGCTCTTTGCCCATAGAAATGAATGGGAGAGAGAACAACCTTCTGCAGTTTCTCTGCACCTCCAGCTGGAAAGTCACAAACTTCATGCATTCTTTCACTTTGGAGACTGCATGATTCCGCAATCTTTTTACAGTGCACAACTGTGAAGTACTTTAGTTACAAAAGTGACGTTTTAGCCAAAGTTCTGTGTTGCGCTGCATAGAGGAACAGGTATTGGAGATACCTGCTTATTAAAGAAGCTGGAGCTTAGCTGGTTCTTCTGCATTAAGAACTCACACTAAGAAACAAAAATCATGCTGTGGAAACAAGCAGCTCTCCTGAGGGCACTGGAGTCTAGAAACGTGTTTGTGGCTCTTTGCCCATAGGAATGAATTGGAGAGAGAACAACCTTCTACAGTTTCTCTGCACCTCCAGCTGGAAGTTCACAAACCTCACGGATGCTTTCCCTTAGGAGACTGCATGATTTGCCATGTTTTTCATAGATCGGAACAGTGAAATACTCTAGTTTACAAAAGTGATATTTAAGACAGTGTTCTCTGTTGCACGGTAAAGAGGAACAGGCATTGTAGTGCCCTGCTTCTCAAAGAAGGTGGAGCTTAGCTGGTTCTCCTGCATTAAGAACTCATACTTAGAAACACAAATCAGGCTGTAGAAAAGAGCAGCTCTCCTCAGGGCACTGGAGTCTAGAAACGTGTGTGCTGGCTCTTTGCCCATAGGAATGAATGGGTGAGAGAACAACCTTCTACAGTTTCTGTGCACCTCGAGGTGCAAAGTCACAAACTTCAGGGATGCTTTCTCTTAGGAAACTTAATGATTTGCCACTCTTTTCACAGCGCGGAACTGTGAAGTACTTTAGTTACAAAAGTGAGGTTTTAGCAAGAGTTCTGTGTTGTGCTACTTACAGGAAAAGGCATAGGGGTGCCCTGCTTCCCAAAGAAGCTGGAGCTTAACTGGCTCTTCTGCATTAAGAACTCACACTTAGAAACACAAATCATGCAGTAGAAA